GCATTTAAGTTCATAAGCAACTGCTGTCTTTCTCTTGGCCTTCCTTCTTTGCCCTAATAGGCTGTGGGGGAAAAGATTCCTTTTTTAGGACCTGGTGACAAGGGCCAGTGTGGGTTTGAAATGCATTTAAAATGTATCTGCTGCTTTCCAGTTTCCATTCAGAAGCCATCTTCTGTGTTAGAGTTAGGCTTCCAATAGCAAAAAGTTTGCAAATGATACACAGAAGTAGAACAAAGGAAAAATATGGCACTGCCCCAGTGTAATGTCATTGTAATATTTTAAAACTTTTCAGGTAAATAATTCTCAGACACAATGCCCAAAACAATACTACTGCTTTACATGCATTTCCATGTTTGCTAACATAAAACAATATGGTGATAATAAATCAGGAATGTGCCAGAAGTATAGAAAACTGTGTAAAGTAGGGAAGGAAGAAGGACGAAATGTGGGATATGTCTACATTGGGGAGGATGGACCCTTCACCAGGAAAACGACTGCTGTACACTTACATTCAGTGAGCTTTGATAGAGAGTAATGTCTTGTTTGCCTTTCTGCTTTACTCAGATACAGGTTATTCTGGGTTATTTTGAAAACAAATGCAATAAAAAGCACGTTTTGAGAATGGTTGTGAACTACTACTGTAAACAAGCGTTCACAGTTAATAAATGGGCTGTGGCACCATTGTCACACATTGGTTTTTTTAGGGTAGGGGTGTTCTGCCTGTCCTAATGAGTTTATCAAGAAATAAAGAAAAACTTCTGTTAATATTCACTCATTTGGCTTTCCCCTTCCAGTGCTGATCACATACATGCTCTGTTTCAGTAAGAATTCTGCAGGAAGGAGAGTCCATGCCAAACAGGTGATTGCTTTCTACTTGAGGCTAGACTGTAGCTGGGAAAATAAACATTGGATACCTGCTGCTAGTCTGTCCGAAGTCAATGCTACTGGTGTGTGTAGTCATCTTCTTACCTGCATTCAAAGAAAGACTTCAGAGAAGAATTTCAAATATTAAACATAAAAGAAATTTCTTCTTCTATGCATCTTGTAATCTATATATCTACCTTGCTAACTTAAATGAAATGTGGACTTTGTTACTTACCTCTTACCATTTAATTACTAGCTTTCCTAAATACTGTAACCTTTAAGTGATTTTTTGCTCCTCTTTTTTTCATTTTGCCTCTGATCTCTGTAAAAGTGATCAGTTAATGACGCTTTTAAAATGTACAATGAAACAAAAAATAAAGCCCAACGTAGAAATGCGAGGCATAAAGTCGTTTGAGCAAGGTCGGCTCTGTCCTAGCACACATCTTGCATACTTAATGTTAAAACACAGCTGAAATATCTTTAACTGCATATTTAACTGGAAACTGGGGCAGGAGACTGGGATCATTGTTATATTAAGGAAATCTTAACTTTATATTTGTGGGGGTTATTTTTTCCAGTATTCCAGTTTAGGCTAAAATTATTGAAAACTGAGTTCTGGTATAAAAATACAAAAAACCCCTCATTAATTTAAGACTAATGTATTGCAGAGCTGTACTCTTTCAATTTCAGTTCACAATACGTTTGGATATTTTGGATGACCAAGTTCTTAACATAAGTATGTTGCCAAGCATTCTTTAAGTCAGGTATGATGTTTTGCATAACCTCAGCTCAAAGCTTTAAAATGCAAGTATAACAATACTCCTGAAGTCGTCCTGTTAAAGTGAGGAATTTATGTTGCAATTTTACAGTAATACGTACTGCTACTAAAAGAGAATACTCTTCCTGTCAGAGGTGGAAATGACACTCCTTTATGTTTTGTGTTTTTACACAGTGGGTATGTGTCTGTATCTCCTTTATGCTTTTCCATAGCACATATGTGACCATAAAGGCAGTCTTATCAAAGAGCGGACTCTGCTGAATCTTTCTGCTGTGTTAATTTTCAACCAGATCAGCCCCCTGACAGAATTGTCGGTGTGGCCACAGCAGCACTACGACTGCTCCAACTGAGAAGTAATGCTGTGCGAGGGAGGCAGGTGTATCAGCCATAGGCAGGGATTTACATTGGTATATGGCGCTTGTGAAGCCATGACCTAGGCAGCCTTCCTGCCATTTATGTGAATGTTTATGACTATTTACTAGTAATGAGGAAATAAATACCTAAGTTAAATATATGTCCTGGCCTTGTTAGTTTGTGGCATTGAATAGTTTACGGTCACAGTCAGGTGTGTTTGCCACCTGTCACTTTTCTCTGTGTGCAATGAAAAATGTTAGCTTAGTACAAGCTGATGAATTTCACATGCTTCCTGCCATAGAGGAGGAAGGAGGAAAGGTGGGGAGAGAGCCTGTGTTTGTGTCTGAGTGCAGTTTTGAGGTGGTTTTGATGGGGAGGGAACGTATATTGCTGTTTTCTTGGGCCATTAGGAGAGGAATAGAATAAATTGTTGTTAGTTTTGAAGAATTCTATAGTTACTCAATTTTAGTAAGTAATCAAAAGAGACAGTAACTCTTCCTGCTCCAGTGAAACATTGTCACATCAGCAATGACGCAACAGTGGCCTGAGCACTTAACTATAAAGCAAAACTTGAATAACTTAAAATCCTTGACTACTATGTGCTTTCAGAAATTTCTAATTCTTGCTTCCTTCTCCTCTGTGCATTTCCAGTAAGTAGATTCAGACCTCTTTTTATAATTTGTCGCTGGTTGAAACCAGTTCTTACTTTTATGATTGTAATATTGGGTTTTTGATTAAATTTAAACCAATTTTGTTAAACTCTAATAAAGCATAAAAAATCCTGATCTTTGGACCCACATTAAAATTAAATGGGAAATGAAAAGTAATTGGTAGGTGTTAAAATAGTAAATCCTCCAGTCTTTTTTTGGTTTACGTATTTATTGATTTTTTTAAAGCATTTTAGGGAACACTGGATTATAAACTTTGAGATCAACAGAGACATTGTAGCTGTCTCTGAGAGGCCCCCAGCTGATTCCTTGTCGCTTGCTCTCTTGTTGCTGCATGTGCCTTGGCGCTGTGGTTGTAAAGTGCTCCTGCTGGGTTTTGCTATACATAGTTGCACTGCACAGGTGTTTGGTGAAATGGGGTGGAAAATTGTGCTGCTTGACTTTAGGGAAGACCAAAACCGAATGTTCTGTCAACCTTTGTACAGCAATAAAGGTTTCTGGTTGAGTTAATGAGCAGCTTTTTCAAGCCATAAATTACAGTTTCTCCAAATGTGTGATAAAATAAAAAATCTTTTGCTCTTGCTGATTTCATAATGCACTGGTGCATAGCATCACTTTTAGAAACTTACAAGTATGTAAAACCTTGGGGTTTAGAAAGAATTTATTTCTACAGATGGAAATAGTTAATCTTAAGGAAGAAGAAGAATATTTTAGAATTCTAGGCGTGTTATACATTTAAGTGATTCTAGGTGTCATGGAACTGTTATTTGTTTTTAATAGAATGCTAATTTGATTTACCCTCTCCTAAGCTATTTGACCCCATCTTTATGGTGAATAAAAAGCCATAGTTCCCTGTAGACTAATAAAAACCTATGTTCATAGGTAATTGAGTTCCCAGATAATGTTTCAAGCTCACATTATATCTACTTGTGTCAACTTACTGGTTCATTTTATTGAAAATTTTATGTTTCTCACAAGGCAGCCTATTGTCCTGTCTAGCTGATGTTTTTTCCGGTGCGTAGTGTGGTCACAGGTGGGAGGGGAGCAAAAGCTGTTAAGTAAATAGCTGTACAGTAAATAGCAACTTTAGCAGTTGATAGAAATATTAGTAATTCACTGAGAAGTGGAAAACTTAATCTCTATGGATTTCAGGATAGCTCAATCTTGGCTTTTACAAGAAAAGCAATCATCTAAACACATGGTAAAGAAACCATGAATTACATTCATACAAGAAAGCAATGCAGAACTAAATGCCTGTGGTGTGCTGAGTGTTGTTGTGATGGGCTGTGCTACTTCTGATCTGAGAAAAATCTCATTTTTTCCTTTTCTAAGGAGATTTAATATTTTGAAGGGGTTTTTTTTTGTTTATTTATGTAATGTTTGATTATTGCTCTACAGATTTTAAAATAATTATGATGCTTTTAGGTATTAGCCACAATTAATATCTACAATTAAAAATTTCTAAAATCTGAAACCTGCATATGGCATCTTTAGCTGTGTATTTCAAATCCACTTTCAACAGAAATATCAATTATCTCTACAATTTAAAAAACAATATTGCTACTCTTACAATATACAGATTTCTTTAGCATCAGCAGATAGAATAGATTTAAATTATCTGAATTTTTAATGCATTTCCAGTTGTAACAACAGTATATTACTTTAAAGAACATCAAAGAAAAGAACGGTTGTTTGCTTTATATGTCTCAAAATACTGAAAATAAGGAGAAATACAGCCTGGATTTGGTAAAGATAAAGGCAGCATTCAAGCTACTTACTTATTGCAAACAGATTTAATAGTTAAAAGTCTTCCACACCAATGCACATAGTCTAGAATCCTATTTATAGGGTTTGTTTTCCATACTTTCTGTGTGCTGTTAAATTCTGCTATTTCTCAGTGTGCTATTTAGGTTTTACGTTGATCAGCCAAAAATCTATTGGGTGGACTTAATCGTACACTCTTGTTAAATATGCATTGTCCAAATCTACAACTGTAAATACATGATATACTAAACATATTTGGTAGTAATGCACAAGGCTACTTACAATATGGAAGAACAGAGAAATGCCAGATGTGCCTATACAAAACATATACCTCCAGTATGTTCTTCTGGAGATAATGGCAGTTGTATTTCTAAATGTTAGATATACATAGTAGCACTTTTTGTCTTAAAAAATAATAGTCTTCATCATCACTGAGAAATAGTTGAGGATTTATAGGTGGGTAAACCAGCATTTCAGTTAATGTTTTAAAGCATGGTAGCATCAAAACTGAATCCACTAAAACCAGACTGAAAATTGCATTAACTGGAATTCTGTGTGTTGTGTCCCCCTAGGAGGAACAGGCTGCTAAACTCAAAGCTGAGAAGATTAGGGTTGCGTTAGAGAAGATTAAAGAGGCACAAGTGAAAAAGGTAAATCATTTGTTCTGATTTATAAGATCTTTATTTTATACTTATTCACCTGGAAAATGCAGACAAAATTATTCTCATTTGTGTTTATTACCCTTAAGTCGCCCTAAATAAAATAGGAACGCTAGTATTTTGATCTTGAGTGGTAATGTACTTTCTTACCTAGTCTGTGTCTAATCAAGAAAATCCTAGGATATGGAATAACGTTATTTTTTTCTTAAGGAATAGCTTATTTTGCAGCTAGTGCACATTGAGAAGATTTTGCCAACTTCCACCCAGAGCTGAAATGAAGGTCCAACCTCCTGAGATTGTCTTTGTATATTAAGCAGTCACACATTTAAAATTTAGGTCTGTTTTCTTTACAGATTCCTTCCCAGTATGCGCAGCAAAATTTTCCAGTGATAAATGGAATACAGGCATTCCAGACTACAGACGGGTTACCAAGGGGAGAAAGTCTGCTGACACCACTTGTCGTGGTATCAAAGAATAGAAAGTGTTGCCTTGAAATTTAGCATTCTTATTTTACGTTTGGAGTTTTTCAGTAGCTTAAAATGCCTTTTACATTTAGTGTTTATATCATAGAAACATAGAATGGTTTAGGTTGGAAGGGACCTTAAAAATCGTCTAGTTCCAACCCCCCCTGCCATGGGCAGGCACACCTCCCACTAGACCAGGTTACTCAAAGCCCCATCCAACGTGGCCTTGAACACTTCCAGGGATGGGGCATCCACAACTTGTGAAAAGTATACTTACTGTCCTGGCTGGAAGATGGGGATTAACAAGCCAACCAGTGTATTACAACTAGTACGTTTTAACTTTTCCAGCTGAACAAGGTGTAAGAAAGGAAGCATAATGATCGGCAAGAAGAATCTATTGTCTTAAGCTTTCCTGATTGATTAAAAAATGGCAGCATTTTTCTTTCTGGATGGTGACCTATTTAAAGTGCCTATGAAAAGCCATTGTGTTTTAAAACCAAATTTCTTTTTGCACTAATGCATCATACTCCCCAGAAAAAGAAAATTCAATATAGGTATATTGTTTACATAATCAGCATTCTTAGAAAATGTGGAGGAAGCAGGCACAAAGCTTGAATTGCAAATCTGAAAAATTCTGATTCTATGTGAGGTTGTGCAGAACTCTATATCTATGTTTGTTCCACCTAGTTATGTGAGAAGAATTGTCACAAAGACACTATTAATTCGAACAGGACACTTTGCTAGGAGGGATTTTTTTCCTCCTTAACACACAACGAAAGCACATTGTCATTGTATTGGGAAGATCTTTATATTTACTCTCTTACACTGAAGGAGAACAGTATCTGGGTAAGTGTCCATGATACAAATATCTGACTGTAATTTATGGCTTTTTACATTTTGAGGGAGTGTTTTGAACTTAATATTTTATGCTATTATAACAAAGTCTTAGAAAAAGAAACAAGATCGTAAAAAACATGTTTTTATTTGAAATGCGGGTAACTAAACCTTCTTGTTTTCCTATTTTTCTGCTTAATAGTTGGTGATCAGAGTCCACATGTCTGATGACAGCTCCAAAACAATGATGGTGGATGAGAGGCAGACAGTGAGACAAGTATTAGACAATCTGATGGACAAATCGCATTGTGGTTACAGTTTAGACTGGTCATTGGTGGAAACCATCTCTGAATTGCAAATGGGTAAGTAATATTTAGAAACATTTATAATTCTCATCTTTTGATGTAATATTTGTCTATATCTGTGTTGTCAGAATGATTTGAACTCCTGTCCTCATAATGTTCGTCATCCCGTTCATTCATGTAATAAAGCTCACGAATGGTGTTGTTTCAGAATGATCTGGGAATGTTTTTTTCTTTCGTGTTAAAAGCATGTCTAAATTCTAACATGATATACTAATTTTACTAATGTCTAGTCACTGAGCCTCTTGGTTTTGATGTGTTCCTCACAGAAGAAAGAGGTAGGGGGTAAAAAACTTACCATGCATCTTCCTCTTTGTAAATAATGTTTTGTACTAATCCTAATAGCTCTTATTACAAAAAGCTGTCTACGTTTTTTTTTTCTGTTAAATGTTTTAATGCAATTGGCAATAGTGGCCCAAAGGGCAATTAAAGCTCCTTTGTGCTGCATTGCACATACCACAATGTAAGTTTTTCATTCAGCCAAAGGATATAGCATCTCAATGGAAAAGAAGGGGAAAAGTGATAGAAAACCAATATTATTAATCCCTGTTGTCAGAGAAGAATTACATCAAAGAGTTGTTAAGCGTCTTACCTGTTGACTAAAGAGAAGCCCAGAACTGAACCCAAATATCTTGATTTCAAATTAAAATGCAAATCAGTATTTCCTCTTTCTCTTGGTGAAACCTTTTCTATTTCAGGCAGTGCAGCATGTTAACTTTGCTAACCGTTAGACAAAAAAGGCCATTGTGATAAGGTATCCTTTGAACCTTCTACCTTCCATATGCAAAATAACAACTTACTAGGCTCAAACCTTACAATTTTAATAAATGAAATCTTAAGTTGCCCAATTTTGAAACCAGAAAGAATTTGCACAAATTCTATGTAAATCCAAATTAGGTATATAAAAATCAAATGTATTATTCTGTAATATTTTACCAATGAGAAGAGTATGAGTAAATAGCCTTATTAGTTCTGCGATAGTTTTATATTGCTATCACTGAAAAATCTTAGAATGTGTGGGTAGCAGGATCCTGGACTCAAGGCTAAACCAGGGGTCTTTCCCATCCTAGATTTGCTTTCATAAGACACTTCCATTTACTGTGAAGCCTGGAAAGAGTAAAGAAAAAAATATTGGAAAAAAAATATTTTCAACTTCTGTTAAAAACAAAGACCTAGGCTACAGAGAGAAAGATAAACTGATATTTATTCAAATTAACAGTGTGTCTGAATTAAGATTATTTTGAAATTAAGCAAAGGTTAACAAATCTCTCTTCTTGTTGGGTGTTTTGCAAGTATATGCATACCCTACTGTATGGCCTCTGACATACTGGGAATGACAACATCTGTTATAATCACAGAATTTTAAGTTCAGACATGATAAACTTGAGAGATGCGAGACGTTAGAATTCAGTTTCCTCTTTAATTTTGGCTTTCATTTTGGTAGAACAACTGTTAGGTAGTTTTTCATAGATTTCACATGTGTTTTTTTTAAAAGACAATCCAAAATGCAGCCAGTTCAATTCATATATTTTATACTGGAACTTGAAAAACAGATGAAAAAATGATTACAACAAAGCCCTCACCCTATGTACTATTGTGTATTGTATTGTGTTATTTTGCTAGTGGCTCATCTTTTAAGACATTTTTTCTGGCAATGCCTATGCAAGAGGAAGGAAGACCTATGTACCTTCATGGTGTATTTCAGCATGTTATGTTGTCTTGTTAGTTGATTGCTCATTAATTGCACAGTTCAATAAAATGCAGTGAAGGCTTTAACCTAACGAACTGTGGAGAAAGACATGAGGCCTGTGAAGCTCCTGGTTTTCTTTGCATTTTATGTGGTCTTCATATGCTTCAAATGCGTGTGGTTAAATAATTTTTGAGGAGTCTGATTTAGGTACATGTACTTGAAGTAGAAGACCACCTGTTACTATCCAATGGTTTAACCACGCGCTTTATATGCACTTTGAGAAGAATTTGGTGATTTCCAGAACGCAGAATGAAATGCTTTGCCCAGTTTTACCCTTCAAGTTTTTAACAGAAGCAATGGAGGAAGGTTTCTTTTGGTTGTTTTCATTTAGAGCAGAGTACGTCTATGAAGTATCTGACTTACAATGTTTTCATTTTAGAGAGTATGTTTAATAATAGGAACATTGCATTGTATGCAGTTTCACATACTATAGGTACATTATACTCAGTAAGTTGTTCCATGTTTGAGTTCAGTTATTGTTCTTCTTGTAATAACAGTTGATATGTTTTGAAAGCTATCCAGTTTCACTAATGAGGCGGCAGTGAGATTTAAGCTTTTGTATCACAGTCCTCTGAAGTTTTTTGTTCTGTTCTTCTGTTAGGTAACACCTTTTTTACTTTCTTGGAAGACAGTATTGCTGTGTTGCTGATAGAGCTTGATGGAAGTTGTGAGTTCTAACTTGAAAGCTTCTTAGAAAGATCTCATTGAGACCTCAGTAATTTTGTGTTGTCATCTCAAACCTTAATTCATTCCCTACAGATGACATTTTGTTTCATTCACTCTGCTTAATTACCAAAAATGTTGAGATGTCATCTGTCATCTCAGTCTTCATTACTGATAGCTCCTAGGTCTGTATGTGATCAGTGCCATATACCATCTGTAAAAATGTGGTGTAATCGATTTTGTGGGAAAAAACATGTTGTGCTTTCAGATGCAATTAAAAGGTTAAGCAAGTCCCAAAGGATCCTGAAAGAAATAATTTCCTGAAATGCCACTGTGTGGCCTATGTGAAGAGATAGCAAATTGCAGAAAGCAAGATTCCACTGTCTTTGAAAAGAAGAGAAAGTTGGTCTAGTGGTTTCCCAAAGATATATTCTTCCTTATTTATTTTAGAGTAAGGGATTTCAGATATTTCTCTGTCATTTTGGTAAATTTTCATCTTTTTTCATCGGCTCTTCTCTTTTGCCTATTTTCAGTATCTTGTGCTAGTCATAACTATTTCAACAGCGTACCAAAGTTCAGAGTTATCAGAAGCCATTTGTTGATCACTTATTCAGCAAGACAGATTGTAAGAAATAGACAGTGTCAGTTTTCAGACTACTTCTACTGTACCCTGACTAACCACGGGTATTCTGCATTTTGGAGGCATTTTGTTTTCCCTCTGATAATTTTTTTTTTTTTTTATACTTTATGAGTGAATTGGTGATTGGGGATGTAGAAACAAATTTTGTGCTGAAAAGCTGCCTAAGAAATTCCTCCAGGGATTGTGTGGACCAGAGTACATATAAATGTGATAACCTTCTTATTTGTCCTCATAACATTTGAAATGTTGTCATTTGAGTCTGCTGTGTTCACGTGGGATGTCAGGTAACAAAAAAAGAAAAACACTTCATATACTGATAGAACTATAAGCCTGAAGAGACAGAAATGAGAGTGTTGAGTTGAGTGTATGTGTAAAATTAAACCAGGCACGTCTGAAAGTCGACCTCAGTTTCTTAGTGTAAACTTATTCCCCATTTTAGTAGACCTTGAACTCTGTTTTCTCTCCATATATGCCTTGTCTCCCAGATACGACTACAGAGTCGTTTCTGTCACAAAATGTGGCAGATTCAAATGTATTTGCTCTCTTGTTATTGCTGCAGAAAGGATCTTTGAAGATCATGAAAATTTAGTTGAAAATCTTCTGAACTGGACAAGAGATAGTCAAAACAAACTAATGTTCGTGGAACGTATAGAGAAATACGCACTTTTCAAGAATCCCCAGGTAAGCCTGAGATGCATGTTGAATGTGTGTGTGTGCATGCATGCCTGATTGCAGTTTCTTCCTTTTTTTGGTAGCATTCATTTCCATAGTGTTATTTTTATACTTGTGCATGTATTAAAATGCCAGGCAGCTTTACAGTTCGGCACCATGTACATCCATATTGTGGTTGGCACAAAATCAAGTCCCTAGCAGAAAACCATGAGCTGAAGCAATCTGTTTGCTAACGTGTTTGTGGGCGATTTTAATGGAGATGAAGGCAAGGAGTTTCATGGCATTTACACCAATACTTAGTGCTGTTCAAATATGTAAATATGCAAGAAAGGTGTTGACAGATACTGCTAATAGTAGTGCCTTTCCACTGTGCATTCTTACGTTGCTGGCAAGAAGGGGAAGCAAAGAGAAAAGCTACTCCATGGTCAAATGGCAAGTGAAGAGAAGAGACCATGTGTCCCTCCCTGTGGAAGCTGGGACCTGCCTCTCTATCACCTGTTTCCTGTTCGCTGGTTAGGAAACCAAAGGCCCCTCTTCTCTCTCAAAGGCCTCTCTTCTCTCAAATGATAGCTACAGATTCGATACCCAGCAGCAGTTCAGTACTGTGAGTGGAGGAAAAGAAATGCAAAAGCAGAAGGTGGCTCTTTGAAGAATTTGAATTGAAAAGAACTGAATAGAGTATCACTTGATCTCTCTCTTAACTCTTACCTAATGTATTCTCTTGTGGGGTCATAGATTATTTTTATGTCTGTATGGCATCTATGTGGTAATGTCTTGGATTTAAACTGGGTGTCATTTTTGCATGCTCATCCTTTGGGACACCATCAGTGTGTGATTTTTTTTTTAAGCAAGAATTGAAAACCATCTCTTACTCAAGTGCTTTGCCATGAAGCAGCAAAACTCTAAATTCTTTTTAAAAGCATGTAGTTGATACATCAGTACATATGGTAGGCACTGTCAAGAAGAGTGAGGTACCAGCATAAACCCATTATTTCTCCTTCATTTAAAGTATTGAACTGACTAAAGTTTGTGAATATTGGGGTTTTTTTCCAAGATAAGAGCTAGGGCTTAGGAAGCGGAAGATTTTCATTGTGCCAGTCCTTTCCAAGGTGAAGAAGAGTGCAAAACTTCTAATTATATGAGATACAGTATCTATGCATAATTAGGTTCCTTTTAAAAAGTCAAGAAGTATTTAGTAATTCTTCATGAAAAATAAGTAATTTTATTCTGCAAAACTGTCAGGGCAAGGTGGAAAGAAGTACATTGCTTCTGTGTGTGCTTCTTTGAATGCATAAATAATGGCAGTATGTAACAAATTTAAAGATCTCTGTTCTTTTAAATATTTTTAGGGTGACATTTTCAAGTTCATAGTATTTTTATTTCTGGATGCATTGTACCAGGCAGCTGTTTGTTTTGTAGAACACCAGGACAATGCTGGTATGAGGCTGTTACTTAAGATAAGAGTATGGACTGATTGATATTTCTGGAAAAAGTGGTTATAACTTAGTTACATATATTATTTAGCAGTCTGACAGATGTTTTCAACTGGACTACAAAGTTTTTGTTCAATTAATGTATTGTTTTTAGATCATAGGTGTGTTTTTCTCACTGCTACAGAAAGGTAAATGAGGAATGTTATTTGGTTTGATTTCAGAATGTCTATAGAAATACTAACCTTTCTCTTGTTACAGAACTATCTTCTGGGGAAGAAAGAAACCTCCGAGATGGCAGACAGAAATAAAGAGGTGCTGCTAGAGGTAAGACTGACGAAACAAAAAGGTCATGGTGGTCCTTTCAGAGTTTGAAGCTAAACTCTAAAAGATTGTGTTGATTGAAATTGATGTATGGAGCTGAATGTAATTCTGGAACAACCGTGAATGGAATGGGTTGTATTTGAGATAAATGGCTATTTTAATGTTATCCTGTTTCAGATACGATCAGTTAATAAAAATGTGTCGTTTAATAACTAAAACACCATACACAGTGATAATCAAAATGAGGTTAACTGTAACTGTGGCTAAAACCAGTCGAAATTTGTAGAACTGTCACCTGTTTTTTTGACCTGTGGTGATAAAGTTTTTTTTATTGGTGCTTTCCAAATGGTTATTCTGTACAAAATTCTATAGCATTGGTTCAGTGACTGGTCTATGTTAGTATTTTAAATTTTGTTAGTAAGCAAAGTAGTTAAAAAATGTTTCAATTACATTTTAAAATAAGAAAGCAAATATTAAATTTAAAAAATAAGTGACAGAAAAGGAAGTCAATTAATACTGAAAACATTATATAGTTTACAGAACTAAATAATAAAAAAAAAAATGTGTGGAGCAAATAAAGCAAACAGTAAACAGCCTCCATAAGCTGAAAACTGAATGGTTTTGTGACATTTTTGCAGAGACGTACCCATACCCATGCTGAAGTGTCATAACTTCCACTTGATTTCCAGAATAATGATTAAGATTTCAATGGTTACACAAAAGTAAATATTTTGGGTATTTAATTTTGGATTATACTTAATACAATTTAACTTATGAGTAGCATATGCATGCTCTTAGTATATTATTATTACGGGTTTTAGTAAGTGGTCATGTGAATACTGTGGATCAAAAAGATGCTTGAAGCCATGACATGCAGAGGGTTGTAATTCTATCTAATTCTCTCTGTATTCTAGGATTACTCATAAATCTCTCTGCTACATATTAATCTGGAGTGTATTTATAGCATTTTTTTTCCTCTGTTAGCTCTTTATAAATAGAACCTTAACAGAAGTTGTAGTGTTGGCAGTTAGTAGCAATAAAGTACTTACGGAATGAATTATAGCTGTATCTGGTAGATATGTAATAAGGTTTTGTGTATACTTAGATTTATGAGGCTATATCTATAAGGTGAGCTCATGACTATAAAGCCAGTAAAGCCATTAGGGGATCTATTGCTGATAAGCAGTGGTTAGAAAATCTTTACAGTAGCTGCTAATATTTTTGTTGTCATTCTTGCGCTGAGAAGATACTAAGATCTCCTATTGTGTTTGAACTACCTTATAGCTTCTAGAATTAATCCCTAATTCATATTACTGCATGAAAAAAGAGCTGTCCCTGTTATGTGTGCATTCCTTAGCTAAAGACTTTCAGAATTTCAGTCATTAAGAACAATCCAGTGCGTGCTGTATGTTCTTTCTCTTTCTGTCTTCCCAAACCACCGTGTTTATTGGCAGGAATGTTTCTGTGGAAGTTCTGTAACTGTGCCAGAGATTGAGGGAGTTTTGTGGCTGAAAGAGGATGGTAAAAAGTCTTGGAAGAAACGTTACTTTCTGCTTCGAGCTTCGGGAATCTACTATGTCCCTAAAGGGAAGGCAAAGGTATGCTATTTTAAGGCAGTTTCCCTGAATTGTTTAATGCTGGTAAATCAGGCACACAAGAGTCAACCTTAAATTTTGACTTACTGGTGCCTTGCCTAGTGCCACATCCCTTAATTAAAAGTGCATCTTTATCACTTGTATATTGTGTATATTGTGTAGATTACTGTGGTAGCACTTGATGTGAAGGGTGTAACCCCAAATTTAAAAATACAAGAGGACAAGGGTCTGGTTTTTGAGTGAGCTTGGGGTTAGGTTTTCAGAAACACTTGAGGAAAAATCATCGGTGGAGTTAAGAGGCTATCTTTTCTTAAGCAGAATTCAGATGAAGGAACAAATGCACTGCAAATGCTAATCATAAACTATCAGACCAACTCCATGATCAGTCTTCATAATTTCATTGGGTTTAGTTAGTTCATATAAACAGGATTATTTTTGGACCAATTTGTGCTACCTTTTTTGAAACTGGTAAATATAATACCATTTCTTCAGTGTCACTTCCTGCTGTTCTGTATGTATCGATAATGAAAAGTAAATGGAAAGCTGCTACAAATGCATTATAGCTTCAAGTCTGAACCACTGTGAGTTCAATTTGTCCGTGAATCCATCAGTCTTGACAGCATCAACTGATCCCCAGTACAGGAAGTCCACTTCCCACACAGCTGGCAATGAAGAAATCTCTGTCAGCACATCAGCTTTCTTTAGAGCTGAATACATCTCAGATGTTCTTTCCACAGCCTTTTGCTTCATTAAAATAATCTATATGCAAGATAGCCTGTTGAAATTCTGTGCCCTACAATCACTGCCAAACATCGTTAGAATTATACTCATGGTCACAGTGGAATTTGGACACTTTGATTATTACCCAGATGAAATGTAACCAGCAGCTGTTAAAAAAGTTCCTGGTCAACCAATCCTATTTACTTTCTACCGATACCAATTCTGAATAAACATTAGCAGTCCGGTGTAAAATGTTGTTAAAAGGCAAAATGCAGGCAAAACACTGAAAAACAGACTGAATTTGGAAATTAATATCCTGGTTAAAAATGAACATCTGATGAAGAGTTTGTGTATAGCGGTATCTCCTTGTTTTGGTAGTTTTCGAATCAGATTGAAACTAATATTAGACCTTAACTAGACCTTGTATTAGTATTAGATAACGCTAAACTGATTTTGTCAACGCATGCGGTTTTTCGTATAAAGATGTTTTGTAAATTATTATTTTTGTATTTAATAGGTCTCACGGGATCTCGTGTGCTTTCTACAGCTAGATCATGTCAATGTTTACTATGGACAGGACTATCGGAACAAATATAAAGCACCCACAGACTATTGTTTAGTGCTAAAGGTAATTTGTTTTTAAAATTCTAATACTGAAAAGAGCAATTCAAGAGCTTGAAACATTTCCACACTAATCTTAGGCTCTTGTAATAACCACACTTCTTAATGGTGAGCAAGAGCTAATTAACACAATACTAATCTTGGGATAGATTGTGAATACACTTCCTACAGCAATATAACAATTGGAGAACTATGCCTGTCAGTTTTCAGGGTGAATCTCTAAATTGTTTTCATTCTGCAAGAGAGAAATCTAAATTGCCATAAGTTACAGAGACAATGAGAAAGCTATGTTTAACTACATTTTTTGTGGAGTTGTTGTGATGACCCCCCTTGACAGAATTACAGTAAACAAATGAGAAAATGCCATGCAGGGACTAGTGCAGAGGGAAGAAATGGCTATGAATCACTTACTTTCCCATCAAGCTGACAGTTTTCCTCCTCCTGCCAGAAGATCCATGTGGATTTCTGTGGTCAAAGAGGAAAAATGTCATAGAAGCAGCAGAAGAATGGTTTTACTGGATTCATGTAGGTCTAGGTTTCTCTGACAGTGGCCTTTCTCTATAAGCTGCGTAGGGAAAAATTAGAAGTACAGGACAGTCTTGCAGAAATACTTCCACAGAATACTTTTTCAGCCTTCAGAAATTTAGGGAGCCAGGGAACGGATCTGGGCTGTTTAATAGCTGTAGGTGCATTCTTACTCTTTGAGTATGCCCTGTCTCTCTTGGGATTCCAAGAAACTGCTAGAATGCTGCAGCAGCTGGGAACACCTTGTACGCTCTTTTACTTGTTCTGAGCCATCGGTTGCTTTCCATTTCATTTTCCCTTCATTCTTGTATAGGAAGTGAACAGTTAGTGAACAATTGCTGCCTGTTTTCCTTGCTCCTCATGACTTTTACAAAGTTTTCATATTGCCCTGAATTGTCTTACTTCCAGATTGATGAGTCCTGGTCTATTTAACTGTGCATCATACTCTAAAATATAACACTAAACTCATTTTGTCCCTTTGGCAACTCTGTAACTTACAACAATTCAGGTTCAGTGAGATAATACCCCTTGGAACGCTAACTTCAGGGAGCTGCTGTCTTCTCAGAGCGCAGGTCTAGAGTTGTGCAGAAATTGGAATTAGGGAGTCGTCTACCAATATTGCCCAACCTGAGGGAAGGAGGATGCTGTAAAGGGAGAAAATTCTGAGTATAAAGGACAGGTAGAAAGAACAAGTAGGAAAAAATGTCATGACAGCAGTGACCTGAGAGATTAATAACTTGAGTACTTCCAAGTTATTTTAAATTGCATCAACTCATCTCCCCGTCTCTCTTGACTCCCACACAGTGTTCAAAATGGTGTCAGTTCCTGCAGGGTAGCTAGCTACAAAGCTATTTTAAAACAGGTTTTCACAGTACGTTCATAGCAAGTACAGTGTCTTCGTGGATTTGAAAGTGGTGCAAGTAACAAGAAATGGTTATAGTTGCACTGACAGTTTTCCTTTGACCTCTTGCCTTCCCTGACGTGTAGCGCATGTGGTGTTGCATATGTCAGTACATTGCAATGTTTTATGTGCATGGAGTGTGTGGCTGCCTGTCCACTGTGTTAAAAAAAAAAATAAAATTTAATCTCCCAATAGACAGGACAATGTGCATTTGGGCCCACTGAGAGGTGGACACTGAATGTCAAATACGGGACGTGATACTAAGGGAGAAAGCATACAGCTGAGACTGGAAATACTTTCCATATTCTTATAGATCATTGGCACAGTTAATTGAATACAATTAAAAGCAAAAATGTCAGTGTTTGTAGGTATTTATAAACTCCTTGACGAAAATTGATTTCTTCTGCTTACATGTCATTTCCTATCCATATCATTTGGACAGGTTAATAGTACATTATTTTTTCAGACTTGTTGACCACACAGAGTAAACCAGACTAAGTCTTATCTAAATAGATTATTTTTTTTAAACTATTGCCATCCTGAGCATAAATGAAGACATGAAAACGTTAAAGTCAAATTTGAACGTGTCTAAATTTTCCCTTATTGGCTTATTTAAGTAAATTAATGGGGTAGGGTTAGTCGGGTAACTTGGACAAAGTTTTCAGTGTGGAACTGAATCACCAAATTACCATATTAAGTAGGATTGAGTTCTGCCTTCCTCAATTCTTAAAATGTTACATCAGTGTTTTATATTAGTACCTATGTATAGAAACCATACATTATTTTTTTTTAATAGAAACTCAGTTTTGTGCCACAAAGATTCACAAAGCTGGGAAATATCTCCAAAACGTGAACATGTTTTTGGAGAGATGAATGGCAAATAAAAATTCAAAGGCTGATTCTCACTGAAGTCCAGAATGGATTTGACTTTACATGTTTGCTTCCTTTGTTTATATTGAATCCTTACTGTGCAAGACAGGTGCTGTCTATTGTTAAAATTAACATTTGTAGTATGTAGTACTAGCTTCTTGATCATGAATGTTAGATTTCTGAGAGGTTCTTTTATTTTTATATAGCCAGATTTTTTAACAAGTCCAGGAAAAAGATGGCTTGTTAGTGAAGTATTTTTTTGCATTTCTATAGACTCTTCTTTGTTATACAACATGTATGTGAAAGAAGCTGGTAGTGAAAAATGAAAACAATTGTCTAACATTATAATGAAGTTAATTATATATATTCTGTTTATGGAGACAAACATCTTCGTATTCGTTTTGAAATAATTATGTTTGGAAGTCAACAGGAGAAAATATTCTGAAAAGAGATTAACAGTTCTTTGATATAAGTTTTAGACAGTCTTCAGTAAAACAAATACCTGTGATCATCTAGCAAAACTCTGTGTCACTGAACTGTAAGCTAACACAGGAAATTATAAGAACTTGAGTATTCGGAGTTGCCCCAATAGCTGTGAGACATGTAATTTCTACACCATGTACAGGAAACGACTGAATAATCCATCCAGAATGATTTCCAGTGTCTGATCTTTGAAAAATATACATTTCTTACTTGACTGCTGAATTGATAAATACAGTGCCTTTTCTTTTTTGTACATGCATATGGGAGCAACAAGTATTTTAGATGATATCCCTCTATCTGTAGGGTGGGGACCTTGGAGGCTCTACAAGCTGCAAATGGAATTGTGCTTAACACAGCGTGTCATTTGTGGAGCATCTCACTCAAGCCATACAAAAGCAGAGAAGACCAGTGGGTGTTTTTTCCTCCAGTTTGTTTTGGTGTGAGAGGAAGCTGAAGTATCAGTTGCCTCCCTCAGGTGGTGAGTTAGTCCATAGTAGAGTGAAAGGAGACAACTCTCGATGCTTTGGCAGTGTATTGCTTGTGTTTAGGAAAGGTTTTTACAAGCTGAGACTGTTCTGACCACATGTCTTGAGAGTATAAAGATTTCTAAAGACCCTTACAGGTACAGAAGAGTCTATTAGTAGGTAGAAATACTAAAATACTGAAAGATTCACCCTTTCTTAGTGTTTCAAACCTGAAATTGGTGCACACTGGATACACTGCCAATCTGTGTGTGAAGCAATCTTCGCTGCCACCTCCTGGAATACTCTCAAACATTTTTAAGTGGGCTCAAAATACAGACTGTTGTTGAAGAGCTTCCAGCATTAAGTTTGTCTGTATAGACCTCAACAGATAAATGGCTTTCCTTGCATTCCTACCTATTAAAATATTGATGACGATTAACATTTTTTCTGCAGCATCCTCAGATCCAGAAGAAATCCCAGTATATCAAGTATCTTTGCTGTGATGATGTAAGAACTCTACACCAATGGATCAATGGCATCCGCATTGCTAAGGTAACCTCCTCTAGGCAGTCTTGCACTGTTGTCATGAGTTGTTGTCGTTATCTGTTTGAAACCATTTACAGTTCCTTAGCAAAATACATGCTAAGTCTAACTTCCCTCTGTTTAACTATCATGAACATGAACTGTACAATCTTCTTACATATTTCCTTCCCTAGAAAAATTGTTAGGCTTTGTTGTTATGATAATTCAGTAATTGGGCCCTTTCTTCTTGTTTCTGCTGCACCTCTTTGTCACGTGACAAAATCCTAACTGACGTCACGGCTAGATTTTAGCCATCTTCCTTACAGATTTTAAAAAGAGGGCTTATGGCAAAATAAGAGAATTGAGAAAATAAAATTGTTTTCTTCTGAGATCCCTTAGTTGGCTTAGTTTATTCATTGGCCTGTTTCTTGCTGGTCGATATCTCTTCTAGCATAATTAAACTGTTTTTCTTTCTTTCAGCAATTCACTCATAAAAAGGCACAAGGTTGGGGGAAGGGAGCTGCCACTTTTGTTAATAAAACAAAATGAAATTTTCACTGAATTAGTGTTGCCTGAGCTCCGTAACAAAGAGCCTGTTGTTTCTCTCTGGGGGGGTTGAAGGTGGAACAGAGAAGCTCAACAGTATGAAAAGCGTACACACCCTATGCAGTTATTAAATTTGTTTGTCATTTTGCTTAGTATGGGAAGCAGTTATACATGAACTATCAGGAAGCACTGAAGAGAACAGAATTGGCATGTGACTGGACTTCCTTGTCTAGCTCCAGTATCAAGTCAGGCTCCAGCTCATCTAGTTTGCCAGGTAATAATGTGATCTGTCTCATAATAGAAAGATTTGATTACCTTTTTTATCATCTGCTCTCTGGAGACCTCAGAAGAGACTATTACAGGAAATGGACTTTTTCTCCAAAGTCTTTTATGCTATGTTTAGTCTAAAACACAGACTTTATGTTTAATATATATATATAAAAACATATAAGACTCTATTTATTATATCACTTGTAGTGGTGTATGTATTTGGAACATATAGTACGTTCTTGTTCACCTCCAAAAAAGAATGTTTTCTGATATTGAGAAGAGGGAACTTCCTTTCAAATTCCTGATGCCTCTGTCTTCACCAATCTGATAAGAGAAACCAAATCTATGTTTTAATAATACATAGACACTTGTGTGTATAGCCCTTAAACTGATTTTGTTGTCTGAAATATTTGAAACTGGAAAATAAGAAATAGTCCCTGTCCAAAGGCAAAGATCCAAACAATCTCTTTAGAGACAAACTTCGAAAGTACTGTTTCTGTTCCTGTGTCAAACTGTGTGTGCCTGCAGTAATATGCTCTGGTTTACCTCTCAGCAGGACCAGTACTGTTTTTTTTGTAGCATATAATAGTTTGAAAATTGGTGAATGGTTTATGTAGCCTCATTTCATCATTCAGAGCTGACTGATGCTCTGCCCCTTTCAGGGGCGAGTTTCATTATTGAAAACAGGTTATTGTGTGAAAGTGTTTTGTCCATTGCAGATACAGGTCAGGAAGTAATGCTACTGAATTGGAAAGGTTCTGGAAGTAGCCTGTGAAAATGAGCAAATTCAGCCTAACTGGACAGGCTCCATATTTTTTCAACTATGTGGAACAGCTTGCCAGGTGTTGTAGGAAGTTCTTGGTTGCTGACAATTTCTCCATCCAAGCTGGGTGTTTTTCTGATAAAGTTTGTCTTGTGTGTAGCTGAGCCAGAGCCCACCAGCCATGCGTGTTCTGCCAGAGCTACAGTCCAGCCTGTACCTAGATGCTCTTTTTCCACAGGACAGCTTGGGGCTACACAGAAGGCAGGTGCCAGGCTGGCTAAATCGGTCTGGCAGTGACTGCTGTTGTCTTTCTAAGATACCCTGTGAACCCAGAATGTTGTCTGCGTTTGTTAGTTGCAGGATGTGCATCATTCCTTCTCTTCCCTTGAGGAATGGAGCAGTCAGAAGCAGACTGCTGCCTTGGCTAGCATAGTTCCTGTCCTCAGCCTGCGTCCAGTGTCTGTTTCTAAGGGAGTGCTGGAGAGAGCAGACTGCGTGCATTGCATGAAATGGGGCTTTTCCCAAAGTGCAGGAGCTGTTGTGTGTTTCAGAACCGATACAACCGCAGTGTGTTTTTACTCTGCAGCATATCTGACACACTGTCAACTTCGTGGAGCTTCAGATTTGGTTAATACCAGAGATCTGTTGCACTATTTTGTTGTCCAGGCAGCAATGGCCTGGATGTGAGCTAGAGTTTATGCAGTAGTTAGTGGGAATGATGTCCTTTGGTGGGATAACATGTTTTACAAGTGTGACCAATAAATGTGACACAGAGTTGCATTATAAGGACGCTAACTTTACTCTTACATTCAGAAACATATGCTAACTGTTTCCTAATTTTCTTCTAAACAGAATCTCAATCAAATCATTCTAATCAGTCTGACAGTGGAGTTTCTGACACCCAGCCAGCTGGACATGTCCGTTCCCAAAGTATTGTCAGCTCCATGTTCTCCGAGGCCTGGAAACGAGGCACTCAACTGGAGGAATCCAGCAAGGTAACAAGACGACTTTAGTTTGAGAACCAACGCCCAACAAAATGTATGAGACAGAGTGATACCTCTTCCACTTCTGTCTTGAGTGGGATTTCTTCTCGGGATTTCTTCTCTATTTTACTCTGTGTTATTGACATACACTGCCATATAATTGTTTTTTCAGGAATCACTTTGTCAGGGAATTCAACCCTGGAACTTTTTGTCCTTGCCTTTATTTGTGTGCACAGAAGCCCTCTGTTCTTTGCAGGCATGATGCTGCCCTTCCCATAGAATCCTATTAACTAATGTTGAATAAAGACAAAATAAAAAGATCAGCTGTTAACAAGTTGAATGAAATTCTTTCACTAAGATCTTTCTCCAGTTACCTAGCTACATCTTTCCATTGGAAAGGTGTGAATAACAGAGACCTGAAGGCAGGTATATCTATTTAAGAAGTACTCTAGTAGTTTTTACTCAAATGTTTTCTGTTATGTTTGGTGCAAATGGAAACAGTAACCTTAGATATGGTCAAAGCAAAAGTACTAAAATTGACAGCAGTTGTGGATTGAGGCAGATTTGATATCTCTTGTTGCTGATAGAGAGTTACAAAAGATTTTAACCCATTGAAGCCTGGGGCTCAGGTCTGTTGTGGTTTGGTTAGTTTTCTATCCTTTCAGCGGTAGTTGACTGGTGTAGTTCCTGAGGAGTACTTCTAAACACAGCAGAATTGTCACTTAAGTTGGTTTGTTGTCAGGTTCAAAGGAATTTCCAGGTTCCTGAACAGCTATGACATCAGTATTAACTGCAGCAGTTAGATGTGGAAGTACACTGGCAGGATACTATGAGAAGCTATCTTCATGCCTGTCAGTTTTGAGTCTTTCCGAGTTCAAGCTCGAGAAGCAAGCTTTTTAAAACTAAAACTACAGGGTGCTGCACCTGGCATTGGTGCATCAGATAACTAAAAATAAGACACAACATCACATTTTCAAATAAGAAAGCACGCGTGGCACAATGTGAAAGCTGACATGGCTGCATTCTTTGGGATTCATAACTCTTCCGCAGTGCCTGCTGGCTTGGAAATTGTCTGATTCCAATAGTAATGTAGAGCTCAGCCCAGGAATGTAGCTTGATACAATGTGATCCGAATTTTTCTACTGCATGAGTGCAACATCTGGTGCATGTTCATCAGCAGATGGCTTGTGTATGTGTACAGGGTGCATCATTTCTGCAGGAGTGGGGTTGATGCAAAAGATAAGGCACTCGAGTCTGTCTAGCATGTGTCTGACAGGTGAGAGAGTACTGCTATGAGAACTGTTTCCTAAAGTTTTGATTTTAATGTGAAAATCTTGCTGTTACACTCTCTGTGAGCTTTTAAAGAAAAGTTTGAAGTTTACCACAGTGAGGTCACTGTTGTTCTTATGAAGTCCATAGTGCTGCTGGCAATTGCTCATTTAAATAAACCCCAAGAATTTTTATGTTATCTGATTAAAGCCATTTTAAAAATAAAATATTCAGACTGCTCCCTGTTGAGGGGCCATCCATGTTTCAATATTTCATCAATTTTAATTCCTTTCTGTGCACAAATCCAAGAAAAGGTATATTTTTCTTCCTTGTGCATAACACAGGTGAATGGATTGCCCTAAAACTTCCAAATGAAATGAACCATGTAAAATTATAATTCAAAGCCATGTTAAAAAATTCTGAGTAAATTCTGAGTAAATTGCTGTCATGGCTACCGTCAGTGAAACTACAGTACACACTTTTTTATCCTGTACAGGTCTGCTCCAAGGAACTTAAATAACTAATAAATCAGACCGGCAGTGGAAAGTGTTAAATTGTGTGGCAAGAAAGGAAACAACAGTGTTGAAAAAATTGTAATTTATGTTAAAAGGTAGTTGCAGTTGCAATGATGCTGAGACACGCTGGTTTAGGCAGATTAGTCCCCATACAGTTGTCTTGGGGTGGTTATTCCACAGCGCTTTGGTGACAAAGCTGGCTTAAGAAGTTCATATGGGCAGGTTGCTGCAAGCAGCAGAGTTAACGGAGATTTGTCCAGCATGTCCCTTCCCCTTCTGGAACAGCTCTCTCCCGCCTTGTCACTCTTGTCTCATCCCCTTCATCAAGCAGGGCAGAACAGAGCATGCTTTGGCTCAGCAGGGAGATGACATTGAGGCTGGCTGGTCAGCAAGCCAGGATGTTACACTGGTTGGTCAGTGGCTAACTGTTCAACAGATTAGAAATGGGTGAGTTCTGCCTGCTTTTCCCTTGTTTACTTGGTGCCAGTAACTTCACAACAATTTCTTGGAAGTTGAAAATATGTTGAGATTTCTTTCGGTCTGTTATACGTGACTGAAATTTGCTAACCAACCTAAAAGCAATCGGCATAGGAAAAGAGATAGCAAACAGTTCAATTGCAAAAGCTTGTTTTCTTAGGAAAAACAGCTAAAAAAATTAGCATGGTTACTGTTTTAAAAAATAGATACGATTATTTTTATAGCATTTCTGAGAGTTCCAGATAGTCATTAAGAAGATGCATGTTACAAATATGAGTTGATAGTATGCAATAAGTAATTTTTCAAGACACACAGAAGGACATCACATTGGACGAACCAGGACAATGATCTGTTTCAAACTTCGATAACAAAAGTATCACTGAATATCTTTCTGGTTGTGGAAATTTAATTTGATTCTGTGGGGATGGGAGGGACTCCTGGTCCTGAGATGCACAATATTTGCTTCCCTGTCCTGAGTGTTTGATTTGCTCAATGTGAAAATGACTGTCTTCAATGGATATGAGGATAATTCCTCTCTATTTCAAATACATCTAAGATTAAAAAAACACCTTTTCCAAAATGCAGGTAGTCTGTCCATTTCATATTTTGAAAGATTGCTCTTTGCCCAAAGAATACTTTATTCATCTGTTCATATTCTTCACAGCTGGGCAGTGAAGCTCTCATTATGTCTCATTTTGCTTGTTAGATTTTGAACACGTTATTTCAAATCGGATGCTACAACAGGCATCAAAATGCGTGCTCGCTGTGTGTGCTTGAAGTGACAAATTCAAGATTCTCCAAGGTCTTGCCCTTCAGGGACAGCTATTCTGTTAAGCCTTGGTCTTCCTCTCTGTCTGTTTTATGCCGCTTTTATTTTTCCTGTTGCCTTTTGCCATCTCAGGTGTCAAAAGTGAAGCTCAGCACAGCTAAGGTCAGCACACCCGTGGTGCCTTATACAGGGCACAATTAAGGTCAGGTGGTGCTACTTGAAAATTCATTAACCTGGGTGATTGGGAGAATGGTAATTTACAGACTAACACTTGTAAGAGATCAAGATTTCTCTCCTGTTTTGTTATGTGAACACCTTGATTTAGCTCCAGAATTTTGTTACACTCTTGCCTTCCAGACCTAATGTGACAGGTAGAGCCACACCCCATGTGTGTTGTAAATCACTGTTTGTTGTTTCGGACTCTAATCCTTTTGGTGTTCTGTGCATATAGAAACTGTGCACCTGTGTCTAGAACAAAGCAATATGCAAACCTGCTCATACAGTGCAAAGCGCGTAACTGGGCTAACTTGTGGCAAAGTATCTACTAATGAAGTATAGGTACCCATTGTGGGCAGTTGCCATGTTGGTATTGCATTTCTAAGGCATGTTTCTATGATGTGCACTGAATTCGCAACTTTGGTTGTAGCCAAACCACTTTGTATTAGGAGGATGTTTATAAACTCGTGTGATGCAATTATCTTTTTAATTTTCAACATGAATGTAGGCTTGCAATTTTAGAGAAACAATTTAACTTGAGCAAACCCACCAAGTAGACTAAAACATTGCCTGCTGCTATCCCATTGCTCCTTCCCTTAATCAGCTTTTCGCTGTCTTTCCTTCCTTTTTTCTGCTTGACATAATAGTTGCACGTATAGCTTTTCTTTCACAAGCTAACTTTGTTTTGCACATCTCTAAACATTTCGTTGTGGGGAAATTTTCCCAGGAAACCTCAGTTCTCCCTCTTTTTCCTCATTTTTTTTCCTTGCCAGTCTTGGCTATCAGAGCATGTGGAGTGGAAGGATCCCAGTAACGTTCCCGCACAGAGCTTGCTCTTCACATGTTTTAGAGCAGTTCAGGCTTTCTGCATTTTGTAACACCGAATAGTGTAAGGCCTGAGCTAACCGACGTAAAGGTTTGACAGATGCTCTGGGAGGCCGTGTATGGTTTAACTCTAGCTTTATGGAGCTGAGGAGGTGTCTGCAGAGTCTCTTGCTCTGCCTGACGTCCTCTGTCATGGCCTGTGGCGCTCTGGGGTCATTATACTTGCCCAGAGGAGGACCAGCGATTCTCACTGCCCCACAGGAATGACAAGGCTGGTGTATTTTCTCCCTGACATTCAGCCTAGCTTGGAGTAGACCTGGCTCCACCGAGTCTTGCCAGCTCCGCTCCCTGCCTGCCCGGTCAGACTGCATGCTCCAGGCTTGTCAGCGTATGGAATTGTCTCTTGCTGCATTGTTTTGCTAATACTTCCTGCATGCTGTAATCTACCACTTAATTTTTAATGACAGGCACATTCAGACCTTGACTTTATAATCTCTTTTTCTCCCTCCCTCCCTCTCTCTCTATCTTTTTCTTTCTCTCCCTTTCCACTTTCACTAAAAATCCCTTCCCAATAGGCCCGAATGGAGCCTGCGGGTCGGCCCTTCATGTCTGTGGCACCGCCTGTGTCCCCACAGACAAAAGTGGCAACTCCCTATGCAGCATCACAG